TATTTCTAGACTTACCACGCTGTCATCAGACACAAAACCAGCCTCAATATATCAATTTATTTTCAATAGTATGTATTTCGGAGTTACAGTTCCTCTTCAGCCCTCTTCAGCTATTTTACAACTATTTAAAGATAAAAACAAGTAAGTAAAATTTAAATACGAAATGAACATTTTTGAAAGAATAAAAAATAAATTAAGAAAATACTGTCTAATCTTAGTACCCTAACAAAATAATAGGATAACAAGAAAAATAAACGTACACAATATAACACAAATGAGTCCAATATATGAGAAAAGAAAAATGTTATATATAAAAGAGAATGTAGCTGTAGCACTCTTAAATTTTATATAGGAGAAACAGGCAGAGAATTAAAAATCTGTTGTAAGGAACACGTTTCTGCCATTAAAAATAGTAACCGTAACTTCGCTATAGCTATAAATTGTAAAAAAAGAAGGCTGTGAAATAATAAAAGATACTTTAAAATAGTTAAGAATCTATCATATATAAAAGAAGATGGTATGAACACTTAGAAATAGTAAAAAACAAAAAAGAAATATTATGAATAATAATAATTCTGGCCAAAAAATACACGAATCACGCGGTACGCTTACCTGACGAGAGGAGTGTATAAATACAAGTAAAAAAGGGGAAAGAAGGTATTAATTTAGGAGTGATGTGTATTAATTTATTATTTCAAGTGCCTTTCATACGTTCTTGTTTTAACAGTTAGCCAGCCTGTGACATTTTATTGTTTTAATTGTGTCTCGCATTGTTCTAAACACGGTTCCAACACTTTTAATGTAAGTTTACAATCTTTTTTTGATACTTATGTATTTAAATTGTTGATATTTTATTGGTATTTTAGTGAATACTTAATGGATAGAATTGTAAACGATTATTGCCAAATGTCAGAATTCCTTTGTATGATTTGAAGTTGTAAATATGTCAATTTTATGGAAAACTAGCTGCAAGTGTCCGCTTCGCTGGGTTTTCTTTCTTTGATATGGAGATTCTGGCTGGTCACCTTTTCTCCGATGATTCGCTGGGTTTTTATTCTTCTTCATATCTTCTTCTTGCAGGTGTTAATATGGAGATTATAGCTCAAATAGGCTCTTTTCTCCGATAGACTTGTGTATGATCGCTATGCGACCGATGAGCTAGCCTTACCTGAACGGCCTAATCGCACGCGCGGGAAATAATGCCTTCCGGGAGGACTTTTATAGGGAACTGGCCTCCTATTCAGTCGTTATTGGCAAGGAGAAAACCCGGAAAACTCCAAGCAGCCAGCCTGTCCAACCGCAGCGCGAACCCACGACGAACCTCCCAGTCTTTAGGGTCTGGTAACTACTACGATGAGCGGCAACGGAGACCACTCGCCCATGGGTTTTTATTTGTTCGTACATTTATATATAACTAGCTTACCCATCGCGCATTGCTGCGATTTCAGAAGAAACGAAATTCAAGCAAACTTGTAATGATAAAATTAAATTTTCATTCTATCATTTTTATTGAAACTTATTATTATTATTCGTTTTCATCGGGAAAACATTTCAAAGTGTTGTTTCAATTCTATTTATTTATTGGAGTGCTCGTGGATACACGATATTTTTTGTTTCTCCGTCTGGTGCGTACACGAATAAATCGGAAGGTTTTCCGACGCATGAGCCAGCCACGTACAGTTGTCCACGCGAGAAGCACGGATTCTCCAAATTTAGCCCACACACTCGCAGCGATTGTCAGAAGCGCGATATTCCCCATTTATATATATATATTTTTAATCCTTTATAATTTTAATTATTTAATTGCTCCTTCCTCTCTTCCTTGGCATGTTGTGAAATTTCTGATAGTCGGATAATAAACCGTTTTATTGTAATTTGTCTTTTTAAATTATTTTGAGTCGATATTAAAATTTGAAAAAGGGGGATACCTAGATCGGTAAAATAGGCGAATTTCTTTCTACAACTTCGGTCGTTGTTCGGGGTACAGTTAAGATTTTAACGAAGTTCGAGCGAATACATAATTAGCAAAAAAAAAAGTCGAAATAAAGTGATTAAACAAAAATTATTACAAATATCGTAAATAACAGTTCACAAATGCATATATAGAGATATTTTTTGAAGGAGGGAAATGGTCTTCACAGTTTGAAATCGATCGAACACACTGTGCGCGAATTTGTGTAAACGCGCGCCATCTGTCGTAGGATAAATGTACTTCGCGGGAGTGTATTAAAAAATTAAAAAACTTTCCAAAGCTTCATGGCAATCGTACTATGCCACAAACCTTCGCTGGAATATATTAAACAACTTCCCAAAGTTTCACGGGAATCGGATAAACGGTGTGGTAATGCATGAAGGACACACACACAGACAGACATACATTCATTTTTATATATATAAGATGTAAGCTATATTAAGATTAAAACTAGCAGTGTTAATGACGGTTTAACTTGCTTGTTTTTATCTTTAAAGCTTTCTATTAACCTACTTTGTTTGTCCAGTTAAAAAGTTGCAATTCATCTACTTTCCAATTTCCGTGTATTGCCAAAGACAGTACATTTTAAAATAGTTTTCAAACATTTATAACAATTAGCAAAAAATTAGCGAATAATTAAAATTTGTAAATAAAAGCGGATAACAGATGGCGCTACAACACATGACCGTTATTTGCCGTTCTACACGTGGGAACAAAAGTGAAGACAGAAATGCGCACGATTAAATATGCGAGACCAACTAAAAAATACCAGGAAAAAACATCGAAACAACGTAAATCACGTTTGGAAAACGATAGGCTACGAAACTCACAGGTCACTCTCAATCACTCACTACATCAAATTTATAGCTTTTTTTTAATCAAAATCAATCTCACAGAGAACAATATACATAAAATTAAACGCTAAACTAAAAAGAATTTCGATAGTTTAGTGTTACATACATATAGTATAACTAAAAAGTAGAAAATAAATATATTAAAAAACATTTTAAAGTAACGCTTTTTATTTAACAGATAAATGTACTGTACTAAATATAGAAAAAAATAAATTTTCTTCAACTTTCACAGTACAGTATTTTTGTTGCATAATATCAAAAATACTGTGAAAGCTGAAGAAAATTTATTCATCCGGTTTTACCGTACAGTATGTACGAGAGATTTCGCAAACATTTAGGAACTGCTCAGTAGTTTAAACGACTGATAATAATTGTTTCTAATGTTATCAAAATTAGCATGTTCGAAAACAAATTAAAATACACTTATAAAACTTATTTATTTATTTTTACGTTATTTATAATAATACAAATAATGCTTTGTAAGCATTTTGGGGTTTTAACAGTCGATGTCGGTAATTCTTAGGATTGATCAAGGCTGAGTAAAAGTCAGGATAGGTTTATTGATTAAGTAAAAAATAACTTCAAACTGTTTATTTTCGCTTCAATTTACATACCCAAAATTTAATTAACTGTGTAATGCTGAAGAAGAAAGAAACATAAACAAATACGAAATATATGAAAGTTTTTTCCCACAACAAACTGACTTCTATAGTAAACTTATCAGGATATTTGTATTTTCCTGAAAAGAATAAAAGAAAATGTTTCCGTACTTTGGTTGATAAACAAACTTATAACTATTGAACTATTTTGAATAGTTGTAATATTTATAATTTTAATAATATGTACATTTACATACACTTAATTTTGCTAAAATTCTGGTTTCCAGTGGCGCATTCCTAGAGCCTCATCGTCTCGAGGATCCTTAAAAATTACGTCACAAAAAGATAATATGCCTCTAAAATTTAATGAACGTTTAAAAAGCTTTAAAAAACTTGTTATTAAGGATTTTATTGTATTTTTTAGTATTTAAAAAAGCTTTTACATAAGGGCTTTAAAACAGTATTGCGCCTAGGGTCTCAAAGGAACGATACAAATTGTTCTACTCCTGGTTTCTATTAAAAAGCTGCTCGAATTTTCTTAGCAGTGTTCCAAGTACATACTTTTATGTACTTGGAACACTCGTCTTTGATATATGTAACTAATGCAGATAATTTAGATCTTAGACTGCGGACTGATCTTAGATCTGTCAATTTCAGGAATTTTTACTCTCAAATTTTGGTCGATCTTGGAATCTGAACATTTGCGGAAAGACATAGTTCTCATTTTATTAGCTTGTTTCTCCAGTCCTCTTGACCTCGCCGATTCGCTTCACTCTTAATTTTTCTTGAAGGTGGTAGTCTTATGATTGGACACTTTCTTTGAAGGTTTTACTTTTGGGATTTATTTCATTTTGGTCATGTGTTAGCATACTAAATTTCTTTGTTATTTCCTTCGTTTTGAGTACATTCCAAAAATTCATTTTTTCAGTCATTTTAACAGTCATCAGTACCACGTAGTCCCCAGATTTATTCGAGAATCCGATAATTGTTCCGAAAATAACACATTTTGCTTCTAACCAAAGAAAATGAACTTTTTATATTTTTTGAACCGAAATTAGCAAAAAATGCTCGATTTATTGGATTTTCTTGCAATTTTTTAAAATGCATTCAAAATTTTCGGAGAAATACTGTCATGTATTCGGTCCTTGATACCATTGTTGGTACCAAAAAAAACCATTTCGGATTTCAGAACAAAAGCAGAGACATCTTCAAACGTTGTTTTGTAAACAATGTTGCCAAGTTGAATTACGGGTATTTTATGTCACATTCAGATTTGTTTAATTGACGAAAATAAAAATTATTAGCGTCTTGGCTATCTTTTAGCTAATTTAATTTTATTCGGTAACCTTTTCGCTATTTTTTAATAAATTATTAGTGACAGTGTGAAGTGAAGTGTGCGCAGTCTCGAGGTTTTATATTCGGCTATAGATTAGGAAATTTAATGGGCAAGCATAAAAGTTCTGTGTCTCTCAACTTCTGCTGAAGTGGGTGAGGTAAGCGAAGTTAGCTGAGAGGGACTTCACAGTGGATGGTTCAAAAGTGTTCTGTAAGGTATGTCAAAATGCATTTGTGTCCATGAAAAAATCACATTTTAAGAATCATGTGCGTTCTGCAAGACACGTGCAAGCAACATGTCGACAGGATCGAACATCCCAGATGCTGCTCACAAAAATGGAAACTCAAGATCAAAGAAATATCTTTCTGAGGTACAGCAAAAACCTTTATAGGATGCAATATAGAATTGCATAAACTGATACATCCCTTGCTTAGGAAGTACTTAGAAAAATACACTAAGCAGAATATTCCTGATGAATCAACACTGAGGAAGAATTATCTTCCACGTGTTCATCAAAAAGTGCTCGAAGAAATTCGCAAAGAAATTAGTGACAATGTTACATGGTTTGCTGTAGATGAAACTATAGACGCATGCGAACGATATGTTGCTTTAATGGTAGTACGAAAACTTGACGGAAAAGACTGCGCTAAAATTTATCATCTTTTAGGTAAATTTCTGAAGACGAATGCACAGGCGATAGCAAGATTTGTTCAGGAAGGTTTAATGCTGTTATATAATTAAAGTTATGTCATGCTTACAGACGACAGAGCCTTCTATAAGCGTGACGAGAACTTTTTATATAATCTTATTTACGTAACCCGCCTGAATCACGCTTTTGCCACCCTCCCCCATAGTCATAAAAGCTGCAGTATGCGGACCGTTTACGTAATTTTCAAAATTTTATCGATGAACTTGATGAATCAGGAAGTTCGTTCACTGTGGATGTTAAGAAAGCTTTGAAGAATTCACATTTAATCGCTTCTCTAGTTTACATCCGCGTCCATTCGTTAAATTTTCCGGATAACATTGAAGCATTAGAAGCAAGAGGGTTGTCACTTGAAGAACCTCTGAAAATGTTTTAAACAGTAGAGAATTTTATACAAAACCTTCCTAGTTTACGTAGAGCCAAACTTCGCACGAAGCTGGCGGCGCTTTTGGGCAAGAATAGTGGTTTTTCTGTGCTTCGCCAAGTTGATAAGTTAATAAAGTTAAGTTCGCCAAGTGCTGTCTAGTTGGAGATCCCTGAGGATGTAGGGCTTACCAATGTATCTTTTGCTGAAATACTATCCTGTGACTACGTTTTAAGCCGAGAGAAGTTTTTCATTGTAAAAAAAAAAAACATTATCACTGGCCGTCTACACAATCTGACAGAGGAAAATATGAATAGATTTTTTGTATGTGCATGGTCATATTCAAACAATTTATAATACAGTAGAACCTCGAAAACTCGGCCTAATGTGGACCGAAGGGTGTCCGAGTTTGTGAAAATGCCGGGTTATCGGGAATGGGGTTAAAAAAATAAGTACGAGTGTTTCCTCAGAAAATACTGTACTGTACTTGTATGTATTGTTTACTTGAGAATATAACAGTGAATAAACTGCCCAAATACCCTTAAACAAAGGAAAAGTACGTCCTTTATGAAGGCATAGAGCCTTTACTACATGAAAATGAAAATTAATGAATACACTGTGTACAGTAATTTACCTGATAAGACAGACCTCAGAAAAATACTTTATGAGAGCTTTTATACTTTTATAAAGCTGTCTATAATGAAAATTAATTAACTAAGGATTTTTTTGCCCTGCCAGGGAGTGGCCGAGTTATCCGGAGTGCCGGGTTATCGAGAGCCGAGTTTTCGAGGTTCTACTGTATTGCTTTAATTAATATACAGATAACTGAAGAAAATTTGATAATTTTGTTTTATTTTTATAATTTTTTTTTTGTTCGGAGAATAATATCCGAAAATGCGATCTTTCCGACCCGATTTTGGATTCGAAACTCTACTTTTATCGATCCGAAAAATCCAGGGCTTAGTCATCAATTGCACTCATTCTTTATTTACCGCTGATCATTTCGTCTCTAATATTGCTAGAATCATTATCTCCTATTTCGTAATTTTGTTTTCCTAAGATATTCTCTAAATCCTCTTCGGTAGTTATTTTTCCGACTGTGTTGCGAGGAAATGAAGCACTAGCAATATCCCTTCTCATTGGACAGCCAAGCAAAACTCCATAAGGTAAACATTTAATGCCTTCCTGCTAAGCTCAGTTTTTCGTAGTCCGCATCAATTTTAAACTTTCTAACCATTTACTGTTTTTATTAGTATACTTTACTGTTTACCAGTATAAATTTCACATCTTGACTTGCACATTGAACGGATCCTTGTGATTGAGAACGGCGCTGCATAATACTTGGTACCCAAAAGTAGTAAATGTTTCCAGACAGTAGAAAGCTATCTCTGAAGAAATCGAACCTTTAGATGGCTCAATATATTAAGTTAATTAATTAAAATTGAAATCGAAAAGTATTTTATTTGTTATATAACTTGGAAGGAAATATTTATTAAGTTGCATTGCGAATCTTGGTTATTATTATCCCGGTTAGTTAAAAACACAATTACAAGTAAAGATATGTTTATCAAAAATTTGATTATTTCAAACAAAATATGACATTGTATGACACTATAAATTTATTCAGTATGGAAAAAAAGTTTTTTTTTTTATTTTTTTTTATTTTTTATTTTTTTTTAAATAGCATTCTAAATTCTTTTGAACTTTCCGCACCTGTCAAAAGAAAATTTACAACCTTTATTTCCTTATTTGACAAAGTTTGTAACGGGTAATTTTTTTTAGTATTTATAATTGCATATTCTATTTAAGATTAAAAAACTGTCAAACTTTTTAACACTTTGCTAAGCTATGAAGGAAAAATTATATCTGTCAAAAAATATAACAGTTTTAATTAAATAATTTGATGAAACGTCAGTTCAGTAGTCGAGGTTATAAGTATGTTGTTAATGCAGACATTAAAATCATTTTGTTGTCGAATTGCCCATTTATAAATTAAAATCGGATTTCAGTATCTTTAAACAAAAAATTAAGTTCTTTAATTTTCTTAAAATTTTAATATCCAGAGAATGAGTTTTAAGATAGCAGAAAATATTTTTATATTCGAACAGTACATTTACAAAAGCTAAATATAACTTAAATCTGTAGAAAACGGTTTGTATTTTACAGAAATTTAGAATAAATAGGAAAAGTGAGAGTCCGTAAAACTTCTCTCAACGGACACCTCTCCATAACGGACAGTTTTTGTTTTTGCGAATGTCCGTTATAGAGAAATTTCACTGTATAGTACAGACTATTTAACAAGTTTTTTACTCGCTGTTCTTATTTATTTATTTATTTATTTATTAACAATTTTTAAAGCTAGAGGCAGTTAATTTCGTAGACGACAGATAACAAGACGTTCGCTTGAAGAAGCACGTAATTACTCGTTTCTACTAACAGTCTGGATCCATTATTTAACATAACAAAGACCACTTTTAAAATACAAGAAGTTGATAAATATGGAAAGGAGATAAAAGTAATAAGTTATAATAAAAGTAAAAAAAGTTATCTGTAATAAATGCATTGATTAGCTATTCATTCATAAATTATAGCATCATTATGCGAGTGTCAATAATACATCAATACAATGACTGATCAAAACATTAGAGACACCTGCTAATAGCATGTCGATCATGTCGATCCCTGTTTAGCACGAATGACAGCCTAAATACACTGAGACATTGATTCCACCAGATGCAGGAGAGTGACTGGAGGTATTGCAGGCCATGCCTATTGCACCATTGTCTGCAGTCACGCTGTAGACATTGGTATTGGCGTCGTGGATCTGAGGTATCCTTCAACAGCATCCCAGAGAGATTCAATCGGATTTAAATCTGGGGACGTGAAACTGCATTGAATGTTGTTTGAACCAAGCCTAGATGGTAGTTACACTAATGGGGTAGAGCATTGTTCTGCTGAAATGCACCACCCCATTGAGAATGCTTGAAAGCCATGAAAGGGTTTAATTGATCAGCCAGCCCATTCTGGTAGTTTGCGGCGTTTAATGTTTAAGTTATCTTTCCACACATACTAAGGAACATGAGTCTTATGAGAAGGCTCCTCACACCATAACAGAGCCACCACCGCCTTGAATAGAACCAAACTGGCAGAGTGGGTCCATGGTTTCATGTTGTTGACGCCACATTCACATTCTTCCATTAGCTCGGTGCAGCTAGAAACGGGATTTATCTGACCACACGAGTCGCCACCACTCTGCAGAGCTACAGTTCTGATGTTCCTGGCACTAGGCAAAGTTCAACGTCTGATGACGCTCGATTAGAAGTGGCTTCTGTAGCATAAGGTTTGCAGCGTGCTTCGTTACTATCTACTCGTTTATATTATTGGAGGCTCGAGCATTGAGCCTGGAAACGATCTGCACCACCGTTGCTTTTCAGTTAGTCTGTACCAGTCTAGACAGTCTGCCAGATCCAGTCATTCGTTTCGTATGGGTGGCCGCCTTTTGCTTGCTGGCCACCGGTATATCCATGGATGGTATACGCTCAGTAGACCCTTGATACAGTTGTCTTCGAGAATCCTAGGGTTGTTGCTACTTCAATGATAGAATGATTGATCTGTTTTACTCTCACAATGCATTCATGATCAAAGTCACTAAGGTTTACCTCAAAGTCTAAGGTTTACCTCAAAGTCTTTAAGGTTTTCACATTTACCGTTTTCGTCAAATGTGATGCATCGTTGGGTAGGCTAGATATTTGCTAATTTACACTCCGAGTTTGGTTTGGTACGTAAAACTCTGCTATGAGGTCCCAGAATACACTTCTCATCACCACTGTCTCTAACGTTTTGATTAGTCAGTGTAGAATGGTTACTTTATCAATCAATTAGTTTTTCTCCTTATGGCTTAAGAAGGAGATATTTTCATCCTAAGTTTTAATGGAATCAATGGAAAATAAAATAGAAATTTATGAGGAATATGATCCAAGTGTCCCTCTTCCATTTTGAGATTATTATTTATATTTTGGTCATCAAAACGTAAGTGACAAGTAGTTTTTTTTCCTATTTGTAGAGAAACGTTTTTAGGAGGTGAAATTAAATCCTCAAGGGTCGGCGGGTCGAACAATAATATTAGTTTCATAAAAGCACTAATCCAATTTGGATAAAACCAATGTGAAATTATTCTTATAACGAATAATCAAAATTATATTCTTATTCACGTTTTATAGGGGTTAATTACCCTTTTGAGTTTTCTGAAACCCCATAAAATATCTATAGGAAGACCGAATTTTTGAAAAAAAATATACTGTATATGTTGTAGAGTCGTTCAAAATTAAGTTTCGTGTTTTTGTTTTTTGAAATACAATCGACCTCTCTATAACGCGGTAGATACGTTCCACTTTATAAGAATTTCACTTGTAGGAATCCATAAATACATGAGCCAATCACAGCCCGGAACGTGTGCAGTTTACGGACTACGGCTATTTGAAAGGTTTTCTTCCATAAAATTAATCGATTCTAGACTAATTCCACTCAACATTTCCAAAACACGTATAATTTTTTGGGGAATAATCCGTATAAACTATGCTATAAACAAAAAATTGTAGGATTACTTACCGAGTGTGCACCATTCTACGACGCCATTGCTTAAGCTTGTTTTCATCGCGGAGCGGCGCATCG